TTTTTTTGTTAGTTTAGAAAGTGGTCTGGTTTGGCCAAACCTTTTTTTTTTTAAATAATAATTGTTCATATATGCAATATGACTAATAAATGTCAAATTCAAATCTTTCAAATCTCTCTCTCTCTCACATGCAACCATTCTTCTCTAATCTCTACCACACGCATTTCCTAATACCAAATTCATGCATGCTAACACATCTGTATTTAGATCAATTAAAAGAAATAAATTTTCGCTCAACAACTTGATGTTGCTTAAGAAATGTCTCGAGTTCGAGTCCTTGTGAATGCAGAAAATCTTTGTTGGGAGACACCAATCATTGTCAGGTGTGCCACCTGAGTCAACCAACAAATTAATCGGGGGCAAAACTACGAATACCGTGGCTGACTAAAAAAAAAATAAATAAATAAATCTTCACTCATTAGATCAATTAAAAAAAATAAATCTTTACTCATTAAAACCAATGGGTCCAACGCATATAGATATCAAATATATCTTAAATCTTCTGCAATACCATTGACTAGAATTCAAAAAAGCAAAACACGTGAGAACCAACTAGTAATTCCGTTCAAAAACATAAAAAATTGTCACATTGTTGCAAGATTATTTGAATGTCATGCGTGATCGTAGCCGCGTATTTCTATTGAAAATTTAAACTATAGAAGCATTTGAATTTTAATAATGTCTAGTTGACTATGTTAAATATGTACAAATACATATGTCTGAATTTATATGGAGTTTATAAATCATTAATCATTATTATGGAAAATACATACGGAGATTCAAATATATATACGGAGATTCAAATATATAAATGATTCAAATATATAAATTATTGGAGTTTTATGAATACAAGACTCGAAAGATGGGTAAATTATCAATGCGGGACCTGAAAGATTTTTCAATTCGGGACTTAAATGTTATAAAACTATCAAATTAACGACCCGAAAGATGGGTAAACTATCAATGAGGGGCCTGAAAGATTTTTTTTTTCAATTCAGGACCTCAATGTTATAAAACTATCAAATTAAGTCTACAATTAACAAAACTCGTAACACCATTAAATTTAGAGATAATTTAAAGTTTTAAAACACCAAATTTGTTACAAAGTAAAAAAAGAAAAAGAAAAAAAAAAGATAAATGAAGAAAATTGAGGAAAAATACTAGATTGTTGGAGAAAAATTAAGGTAAGTATGAAGCTCTTGCTCGGTTTTCTTGCTATCGTCCATTTTTTTTTTAATATTATGCAAATATTTACTTATTATTTTATGTGAGTAAACACCAATCTTTTATTTTTTTTAACTCTAAATTTAATGGTGTTACGAGTTTTGTTAATTGTAGACTTAATTTGATAGTTTTATAACATTTAAGTCCCGAATTACGAAAAAAAATTTTTCAAGCCCCGCATTGATAATTTACCTATCTTTCGAGTCTTGTAGTGATAAAACTTCTAAATTATTTATTTATTTATTATTTATTGCCGGAACGGGAAGTGGGAAGTGGGAACCCAAATCCCTAGTAGTTGACTTGAACTCTGTTATTGCGGCCTTTTGTTTTCAATTGCAATTTCGGCCCACATTTGAAGTCCAGTCCAAAATATAGATGGGTTGTCGGGCCCATAACATTGTCATCATATGGCTCCATTAACAATTGCGTACATAAACACCACGCCCACACTTGCTCTTTGTCAAACACCTCAAACATCACTCTTTTTTTT